CAGGCAGAGCTCTGGTCTAGCTCAGGTAGCCCTTCGCTTGAGGCGAGTTGTCGTAAATAGGAGCGGGTGGGCAGGCGGGCAGCAGTCTGTGCGGTGAGCGGCGGGAGGGCGCGGGGCTCAGTTCTGCTCCTCGTCCCGCAGCTCCGAGGGCAGGAACTTGTACTGCTGCTGCCTGATCATGGCCAGCTTCTTCCGCGCCTCCTCCAGCTCCCGCTCCTTGCGCAGCATCTCCTCTTGGGCGGCGATGATCTGTTGGGAGAGAGCCCTGGGGTCACGGCGGCGTCCCACAAGGATGGCCAGAGCCTCTGCTGCAGCAATGCCAACCCTGGAGTAAGGCTCCCCGGCTGCTGCTTCCTCCCCTGTCATGGCCACAGCCTCCCTGGGCTGGTGTGGGGCCAGGCACAAGGGCTCTTGTTCCTGCAGTGGGACCATGGTCCTCCGGAGATGAAGGGGAGCAGCACGGCTCCCAGCGCTCAGCCCCACATGCCCTGTTCTCTGCTGCGAGCCTGTGGCCAGCAGGCAGCACTGGGGCTTGTGGCACCCCATACTGGGCACCTCTCACCCGCTCCCAATGCTCTGCCCCTCACAGGTGTCATGGGCACTGGGATGGTGCCCCAAGAAGCAGCCAGGGCGTTATGCTCCTGGGAGCGTGTGCCGTCACCAGCTGTGCCACCGCTACAGGCGGTCAGATGAGGGTGAAGCCACACTGTGTAACTGGCACTGGGTGGGATGGGTGCACCCCCAGCATTTTTGTGAGGCTCTCTGGAGACAGGCCCCATGCTGGTGGGTGGCAGGACATGCTCCTGAGACAGGCACGCTCGGGTTGTGGTGGCAGCCAGAGCTACCCCTGCCCCATCAGAGCAGCCCTGCTCCTCACCTGTGCAATTCCCCCGACCATCTTCTCCTTCACCACCACCGTCTCATCGTGGTCCTGGAAGGCAGCTGCCTTCTGGGCTGCCTTCACTAGATTGTCTGACGCTCTCTTTACCGCATTGCCGGCGGCCTGCAGTGGGGAAGGGGAAAATCAGCAGTGTAATTCCCAACCCCAGGGCATGACTGCTACCTGGTGGGGTGAAAGAACCTCTGCCCCAAGCCAGGCTGGCAGGCAGGAAAGGCAGCCAAGCATGCTGGGAGCTGCAGGCAGGGATTCCTTTACATGGCTCGATGCCTTGCCAGCCGCTCATGACCATTTCAGGCGCTGCTGCTCCCAGCTGGGCTCTGGCTCCTGTCTGAGCAGCGAGGCAGGGACTGGGGGACAGCCCCATCAACCCTCCCCTTCGCCCAAAGGGACCAGCGGTGGGACCCCGTGGGCATTAAACTCTTGTGTGTGACTGCCTCTGAGGATTAAGGGTGCCACAAGTATGTCCTCCAAACGTTAACCTCTTGAATGCCAGGGATGCAGTGCACACATTTCAGGCATTCCCATGCCAGTTCATCAGCCCTGAAGGCCACTGGATTCATCAGCCCAGCAGCACTCACACGCCTGGCACGCAGCTAGCAGTGAAGTCTGAGCAACCTACGTTCCAACGAGCTCACCTGCTGGCACGCAGGCAGGGAGTGTGAGCCCTGGGGAGCACCCACATGCCCTCACCCCACTCCCACCCACCCCTCAAGCAGCCAGGAGGAGGCAGCTGGGGCTGGAGGGACAGCCTGGGACTCACCTGGAGCCGCTTCATGGCCTCTGAGTCGTGGTCAGCTTTCACCTTGCAGGCCACCAGGAGCTGTGCCGTGGAGGCAGCCACCTGCTTGGCTGACGAGATGAGCTTCTCCTCACTGGCGTGGCCCTGCACCGCTGCATTGGCGGCTTCGCACAGGTTGTTGGTGGCAGCAGCCACCATGCGTGCCTGCGGTGAGAGAGGCTGTCAGGGTGATACAGGAGCCTCCCCCGGGGAACAAATGCCCTGATTGGCCCCACAGAGGTTGTGGGGATTGGGATGGTGACAACCAGCTTCCATGCCATGTCTCAGCTGGAGGGGGAGGGAGCAAGAAGCATGGCTGCTTCTTCTATCAAGAAGCACAAGGGCAGGTCATCCTTATCTTAGCAGCAGGAGACATGAGGGAAACCCCTCATCCCCTCAGCATGACCTTGATACTCACGGCTGAAATGAGTCCCTGGGACCACTGCCCATCATCCACTGCGTTGGCGGGGATGGCGCCCACCTGTAA